TTTTGAGATGGAGTCTTGCTCTGTCACCCAGGCTGGAGTGCAGTGGTGTGATCTCAGCTCACTGCAACCTCCACCACCTGGATTCAAGCAATTCTCCTTCCTCAGCTTCCTGAGTAGCTGGGACTACAGGCACGCACCATCATGCCCGGCTAATTTTTGTATTTTCAGTACAGACGGGGTTTCACCACGTTGGCCAGGCTGGTGTCGAACTCCTGACCTCAGGTGATCCACCTGCCTCGGCCTCCCAAAGTGCTGGGATTATAGGCGTGAACCACCACACCTGGCCAAGTTTTCTATCATCTAAAAATGAGAGATTCTCTTTAGGGTGGGGACATGGTGGAGGACATGTTAGATTGGGAGAGGGAAGTTTGAAAAAAGATTTTTCTGCATTATACTATAATTTAGTAATTATAAAATTGTTTTTTAAAAAAAGAACTTATTACTTTCAGAGTACAAATCAGAGAGAGTCAAACATCTGAGAGGGGAGAGATGTAGATTCAGTATCAGTTATTCTCGGGGGGAGGGAGGAGCCCACGGTCTTTATCACAGTTGTTCTTTCACAATTTGGTTCAGTTTACATTTCTTTTTGACAGCCCATCTGTGCCAGGGAGCATGGGGACCTGGCTGACCTGTCAGGTATACCTAATGCGTTTGGAAGCCAACAGTCTTCTGGTAGACCCAAGGAGACAAGGGAGCCAGCCTGACTTTGCAAAATCCAGCCTCTCCCCATATATGCCCTGTCTTTAAAGCAGGAGAAGCCTCTCAGAGGATGAGTACCTAGTCTCTTGGCTGTCGAAGGCAGAGGCAATCTGATTCAGGGAGGAGGATATAGCACAGTGAGACTGGGGAAAAGAAAAAAATACCCAAAAAACAAAAAGCCTGAATACAGAAAGGATTCCTTTGGAGAGGAGGGCCTGGCGGGGAACTGCAACCTTATCCCCTGAGACTGCGGCTCAGAAACTCAGCCTGGAGGTTCAGTGAACCCGTTAGTAACATGAACTTGGTCACTGTATTTCTCAGTCCGAGCTCATGCATTATTTACCTGGCGTAAGTAAACCTGCTTCTCCCACGGTTGCTGGGGAAACCACTTTGATTTATTGAGTTCTGTTCTACTCTCCAGTGAAAAATACTGCAGGGTGGAAAGAAGGAAGGGGGGCACTACTGGGTCTCAGGGGCTCAGGATGTGGAGCAGTAAAGGGAGTCCCCACTTTTCCCTGGGAAGGGACCGACTAGGAAAGAATGCAGATTCCAGTGCTGGGAGCTCCAAGGTTGCCATTTCCTGCTTCTCTGAGTATCCCTTTTCTCTATAATACATCCTCCAGGAAGAGAGGGGAACAGGGAGCTAAGGAGAAAGGTGTCCCTTTCCCGAGGCCCCGGTGAAGGCCACTTGCAGCTCTCCCTCTGACTGCTTGCAGAGATAGCATCAGTTTGTGCAGGGCAGGGAAGGGAAGGAGTCAGGTTTCCCCAGAGGCTGTTTCCCAGGTGGATCAGCCTGGGAAAGCCAACTCCATAACACAGGTAAAGTGGTCCTATCTGCTCCCAAGCTTGCTGCAGCTCATATTTGGGGAGTTGCCTCATAGACCAGGCAGCTATTGTAGCTTAGAAAGGGCTTGGGACCCTGGACTCAAATCTCAATGCTTTTATTTATAATTTGAACAAGCTGTATAATCCTTCTGACTCTCAATCCCCCAATGTGTGGAAGACGGATAGCAGTGTCTGCCTTGGAGTGTTTTTGCGAAGACTTCTCAGTGAGTGGTCTATGGAACACGTCCATGCCCAGGCATTACAATGTGGGGTGAAGGGTTGCTTGCTTAGACCACCTGTTTCCTTTTCTTGCCAGCAAGATTCAGACATCGTGCCGGGCTCCCTTCCTCCTCTTTACTGCGTATTGATTTTTCCTTTCCTCCCTTTGTTCTATTTGTGGCTCCTCTGGCCCCGCACAATTGCATTATTTCTTCAGAGGCACATTGTATGAGGAGGTCTGTTCATGCCCAGCAGCATCCTGGGCCTTCCTCCATGCCCAGCCGGCCTGGGCTGCTGTCCTCCTGGTCTGTGACCTTGTTGCATTTCCTTCTATAAAATGGCACTGTGTGGAGCCTTTTCCATTCCTTTCAGATTCTTTGCTTTTACTGGAAGGAAGCTGCTGCCTGTCAGGTGAGTGTGGTGATGTCCACCAGGGTAACACAGACCGAGACATGTCAGCAAGATGCTTGCAATGACCCATGCATTTACAAATTCTTTAGGCAATAGCCATAAATTGGTGAAGTTTCAATTTTCTTTCTTTTTTTTTTTTTTTTTTTCTGAGATGGAGTCTCACACTATTGCCCAGGCTGGAGTGCAGTGGCACGATCGCGGCTCACTGCAACCTCCGCCTCCCAGGTTCAAGCAATTCTTCTTCCTCAGCCTCCTTAGTAGCTGGGATTACGGGCAGCCACCACCTCGGCCTCCAAAAGTGCTGGGATTACAGGCGTGAACCACCACGCCTGGCCTCAATTTTCATTTGTAAACCACAGTGACACGTTAAAAAAAAAAAAAAAAACTTTCCTAGATATCACTAACATAACTGTTTTTAGCAGCAACTTTCTAGATTTTCTTTGGTTCTCCTGGGGTTATTTTGTTATATACGGGCTTATGTTTAAGTCTGTACTTAGCTACTATTGAGATTAGAATATAACTGTTAATTACGTCTTTGACATTTCTGCCTTGATATTAGGTGCTAAATATCCCCAAATGACTTAGTTTCTCTCTACTTAAGCCAGTTCACCTGCTCCAGGCCTCTGTGCATTGTTTTCTCTGAAATGTCCATATGGCCAGAAAACCTATGTGTGTTACTGCGCTGCCTCCAGATCTTCCGACTTCATCTAGAACTGTTCCCATTGGGGCGGATGTTTCAAACTGGCTTCTCTTTTTTTTTTTTGAGACGGAGTCTCGCTCTGTCGCCCAGGCTGGAGTGCAGTGGCCGGATCTCAGCTCACTGCAAGCTCCACCTCACAGGTTTACGCCATTCTCCTGCCTCAGCCTCCCCAGTAGCTGGAACTACAGGCGCCCGCCACCTCTCCCGGCTAGTTTTTTGTATTTTTTTAGTAGAGACGGGGTTTCACCGTATTAGCCAGGATGGTCTCGATCTCCTGACCTCATGATCCGCCCATCTCAGCCTCCCAAAGTGCTGGGATTACAGGCTTGAGCCACCGCGCCCGGCCTCAAACTGGCTTCTTAAAGAGACTTCTGATTTCTTCCAAACTAAATGATAAATCAACAAAGAAAACCCAGGCCATCTCACAAATGTTTTTTGGCAGCAGCCACTCTTTAGAGAGGAATAAGAAGGAATTCTTCCATGAGGGAGGGGCCGGGCAAAAGAAGAGCAGACCTAAAAATGTTCTCGGCCAGTGGTTCTTAAACTTCAGCACACATCAGAATCACCTGTGCCCCGGAAAGCATGGCTTGCTTGGCCCACCCCAGGGTTTCTGATTCAGGAGGTCTGGGCGGGGCTGGAGAATGTGCATTTCCAATCAGTTCCCCGGAGATTGTGATGCTTTCTCTGCAGGAGCCACAGTTCAAGCAGAGAGGACTGCAGAGGCTTGAGACAGGAAAGAGTTTGATAGGTTCCAGGACAAGAAAGGAGTCCGGTGTGGCTGGAGGGTAATGACTGAGGGGCTGGAGAGGGAGGCAGGTATCACAACATGCAGTGGAGACACAGACACAGGCGCACACACACACACACACACACACACGATGTTTGAAGTGGGGTGTGCGTGCGGGGTTAATGACCTGATTTGCCTTTGCAATTGTTATTTCATTTGATTCTCTTCGCAGTCACCATGCTGTGAACTCGGTGCCTTTGATCTCTGTAAACCACCCCACCCCGCACCTTCCACAGAGTAGATGCTGGCTAAGTTGTATTATGTGCCAGATGCTGTCCTAAGCTCTTTATAAACATGATCTCATTTAATCCTCCTAATGACCCTGTGAAGCAGGAACTGTTATAATCCCATTTTACAGATGAGGAACACTGAGGCATCAGAGAGGTTACATAACTTGCCTGGGGTCACATAACTAGGAAATAACAGCCTGGCTGGTAAGCTCCAGCTGAGCCCTCAGCCTCCACCCTGCGCTGCCTCTGCTGCCCCACGATGCTGCCCTTTTACATGAGTGACCAACCTTGAAAGGCAGTCAGGTCAGACATGATGATCACCATCATTTAAAGATGGGGAAACTGGCCGGGCGCAGTGGTTCACGCCTGTAATCCCAGCACTTTGGGAGACCAAGGCAGGTGGATGACAAGGTCAGGAGATCGAGACCATCCTGGCTAACACAGTGAAACCCTGTCTCTATTAGAAATACAAAAAATTAGCCGGGCGTGCTGGCAGGTGCCTATAGTCCCAGCTACTTGGGAGGCTGAGGCAGGAGAATGACGTGAACCCGGGAGGCAGAGCTTGTAGTGAGCCGAGATCGCACCACTGCACTCCAGCCTGGGTGACAGAGCGAGACTTCGTCTCAAAAAAAAAAAAAAAGATGGGGAAACTGAGGCTCAGACAGGCACCTGGTCATAGGTAGAGGAAGGGTATGACCCAGATCTCCTGAGGCCAGATCTCAAGGTCTTGTCCCAAAACTGGGCTGCCACAAACCTGGAGTCTCCAGTGTGCCTGGTGCTGAACCAGGCAGACAAAGAAGTTAACTGAGAAAGAAAAGGCCCCCGCCTGGCAGGTGTGAGGGCGAGGCTGGTACCCTGCAGCGATGGGACTGATAGCTTTGTTCTCGGGCTGGGCGCCCTGTCCGCAGCCTCCTCCTTACCTGGGCTGGGGCAGCAGCTGGGCTCCTGTGCCTGGAGGTGCCAACAGGGCCGGTCATTCACAAAGCCACCGTTGGTTTTGTAGCCATAAAGAAAGATACAGCCCTTCCCTCGGGGAGCGAAAGCTGATACCGTAAACACTGTGGGCTCTATCTTTGATCTGGTGGGTCATAGGAGTGGCTTTTCTCCCCAGGTAGGGTTACCAGGAGAGGACTGGGCAGACCTTTGGGAAGCTGTGCCCTGCTGAACAGATGGTGCAGGGTGGGAGGGCAGGTCTGAGAGGGGAGCCCAACAATTACCCCCAGGTCTGGAACCCAGACACCAAATTTCAGGCCTTGGGGAAATTCTCAGTTTTAAAATAAATCCCTGGGGCTGCTTGTAACTTTTAGTCTTTGGCTTTAAAAATAGTTATTTTCTAGATAAAGGAAAATAATAACTTGCAAACTTGAAAAAGCCACAAACCCCTTTATGGCCGGGTGCTGTGGCTCATGCTTGTAATCCCAGCACTTTGGGAGGCCAGGGTGGGCAGATCCCTTGAGGTCAGGAGCTCGAGACTAGCCTGCTCAACATCGTGAAACCCCATCTCTGCTAAAAATACAAAAATTAGCCTGGCATGGTGGCAGGCGCCTGTAATCCCAGCTACCTGAGAGGCTGAGGCAGGAGAATTGCTTGAACCCAGGAGGCAAAGGTTGCAGTGAGCTGAGATTGCACCACCGCACTCCAGTCTGGGTAGCAGCAAGACTCCATTAAAACAAAACAAAACAGCCACAAACACCTTTAAACTACATGTTGGTAAAGGCTAGTGTCAGGCCCGGAAGAGACCTAGGGGTGGGATGGTGGATGGAGGGCCCGGGTCTGAAATGCTTTTGTCTCTTCCTATGAGCTGATTTTGATTTGGGGTCATTTCCCTGGTATTGCGTTGAGTCATAGCTCTGTTCAAGAAGATGGTTATTTTCAAACTAACTTTAAAAATTGAGAGTGGCTTCTCTTATTCTGCTTCCTCTATCTATGATGCTCTTGTTGTTTTTCAGCTCTGTGAACTCCTAGTTATCCCTCAAGACCCTGTTCAAACATCACCTTCAAAACTGCCATATCCTACCCCCTTTCAACCCTAGAAAATCATGAATACATCCAATTATCCCTTCATTATGCTCCATCTAAAAGTGCCTGTTCACAACTTCACATAACATGGGAGTTCACCATCAAGGTCTTTTTTTCTGGCCAGATGACCCACAGAACTTGATAAAAGACTTTTTTACATATCATTTTATCCCCAATACCCAGCACATTGCCTGATACTTAACAAATGACCTTGACTGGGCGCAGTGGCTCATGCCTGTAATCCCAGCACTTTGGGAGGCTGAGGCGGGCGAATTACCTGAGGTCGGGAGTTCAAGACCAGCCTGACCAACATGGAGAACCCTGTCTCCACTAAAAATACAAAATTAGCCAGGTGTGGTGGCACATGCCTGTAATCTCAGCTACTCGGGAGGCTGAGACAGGAGAATCGCTTGAACCCGGGAGGCAGAGGTTGTGGTGAGCTGAGATAGCACCATTGCACTCCAGCCTGGGCAACAAGAGTGAAACTCCATCTCGAAAAAAAAAAAAAAATGGCTTTGAATGAATGTTGTTGAATGAATGTTATTCGCTCTGCATCATAAGTAGAGTAAAGAGAAAGAAATATTTATAAGCATCTATCACAGACCAAGTACTGTGTAGCCGTCATCTATATGTTATTTAATTTCATCTCTATTAGAAGAGCTTTCATTTGTTTAAATCTAGACTACACGGGCAGTGGTATCTTAACACAGTTAAGATACCTGGGAGGCCGGGCACAGTGGCTCATACCTGTAATCCCAGCATTTTGGGAGGCCGAGGCAGGTGGATCACCTGAGGTCAGGAGTTTGAGACCAGTCTGGCCAACGTGGCCAAACTCTGTCTCTACTAAAAATAGAAACATTAGCCAGGTGTGGTGGTGGGTGCTTGTAGTCCCAGCTACTTGGGAGGCTGTGGGGGGAGGGTTGCTTGAACCCAGGATGCGGAGGTTGCAGTGAGCTGAGATCGCACCACTGTACTCCAGCTTCTGTCTCTAAATAAATAAATACATACATACATAAATAAAAGATACCTGGGAAAACAGTTGATGAATACCTGTAAGGTGCTACAGGGCTGTAGGAAATGCAAAGAAGGACAATGTCTGTCTTCTGGGAGTTTCAGATATTATTGAGAACACATATATGTACACATGCACACATCCCACACATACATACCTTACTCACTCAAAGAAAGATTATTGAACTTGTAAAACACACTGATTTCTAAATGCCTGCTACAGACCTAAATGTGATAGAAATGGGAAGAATGAGAGATCACTGTGGGCTCCAGTGTTTTTGAAGAAACCTCAGATGTGAGTCTCTCCCAGTGGCCTATATTCTCATATGCCTAGAGACTGGGAACAGATGAGATGATCCCCAGCAGTCTGCTGGCTGGAGAATGGAGAATTGTTTATAACGATACCTTATATTTATGACTTTTCAAAAAGTGCTATAACATCCATGATCCTATTTTTATCTCCAAAGTCATACAGCTGATAATGAAGCAGGGCCTGGGGTTGGATTCTGTCTCTGTCAATTACTAGTGGGGCTTCTGTCTGCCCATATGGCATCTCTGTGCAAATTGGAAAACAATGCCCCTTGCTCAGGTAAAATTGTGTTAAATTTAGTATATTACCGCATAGCTTGAACAACTGTGGTGGCAGCCTTATCCTGGTTGTGCTTTCCGGAACATCTGCACTGCAGTCTTCCTGGCTGAGGGCACACATGTGCCACACTCTCATCGCTTATGCTCCCTGCCCACCCCTGCCCTCCAATGCCAGGGCATGTATGTCCCTGGCAGCTTGTACTTTTGCCTTAACCCAAATTCCTCCATTAAGTAAAGGGATTATACCAGGTTCAAAGCGGGAAAGGGTAAGGAATTAGGCCCCCTGAAGTGTGTCTGGGAGAGGCACAGTGGTGCATATGAGAGTGTCAGCAATGTACTTGCAGCTGTTCTGAGTGTGTGTGTGATCCATTGTATGGTGTGGGTTTTAAGTAGGAGAGGACTCTCCCCTGCAGCTTCAGAACTTTAGCTGGTGTCTCCACACATCCCTTCATTCCCTGACATGTACGATGTGAATACTACACATACCTCCCACCCCAGATCCTTTATACAGTGCTGAACCTGAGCAACTGTATATAGTGATCCTTGGATTGGAAGGTCATTAATTTATTATTTATTTATTTACTTATATTTATTTATTAAATAAAGTAAGTTTCAGTGTAACAGTGAGATATTTGTTTATTTTTGAGACAGGGTCTCACTCTCGTTGCCCAGGCTGGAGTGCAGTGGTGCAATCAGGGCCTCCACCTCCTGGGTTCAGGTGATCCTCCCACCTCAGCCTCCTGAGTAGCTGGGACTATAGGCCACCATACCTGGCTAATTTTTGTATTTTTAGTAGACTCTGGGTTTCGTCATGTTGGCTAGGCTGGTGTCAAACTCCTGAGCTCAAGTAACCCACCCGCCTCGGCCTCCCAAAGTGCTGGGATTATAAAGGCATGAATCACTGCTCCCAGCCTGTCCTTAATTTTTTAAAATTGTGAAAATTACAAAAGTTACCTGCTCTTTTCTAACAAATTAAATTAAATAGGGATACAAAAACAAATTGAACACTCATTCTTGCTACTCTTTGCCTCTCATGTCTACTAAGTAACCAGTGCTAAGCTTGCTTGCATATTTCCACTACTTAATAGTGCATTTTTTTTCATATTTTTTTCCATATTTCCAGTACTTAATGTGTGATAAGGGAAACAGAAGCAAACATATGTATGCATCTATGGGTTTTTGTTTCTTTAAACAAGTGTTTTAACAAAATTGAATCATACTATATATGTACTTTTAAATTTGTTGTTGTTGTTGTTGAGACGGAGTCTCACTCTGTCGCCCAGGCTGGAGTGCAGTGGCGTGATCTCGGCTCACCGCAAACTCTGCCTCCTGGGTTCACGCCATTCTCTTGCTTCAGCCTCCCAAATAGTTGGGACTACAGGTGCCCGCCACCACGCCTGGCTAATTTTTTTGTATTTTTAGTAGAGACGG